ATTAGAATTATTTGAATCATAATTTTTAGTTTATTAGCACACTGGAAACAGGGAGAAAACTTCTATACTATGCCATCCTAATGTTGAAACCGGTAGGCAAGGAAAGCCGTTTAGGGTAGTAAACAAAGTTGAGGCGCTGATAAGAAGGAAGTATCCGCTAAAGTACGATCTAGTAGTGACAGGAAAACATGATAAAAAGATAATCTAGTTCATAATGACCTAATGTGAATTTAATCAATTATGAATATGATAGGAAGGAATAATTGAAAATAAAAATCTGCATGATAAAGAACATGACTACATACATGCATGATGAAATGATAAAAAACTATGAAACTTTGATCTTATATATACTTAAAGGTATAGAAATAATTGAATTAAGAAGAATAATATGGGAAAAAATATTTAATGTAACGAATCAGAAGATATACTAAATCAACAATGGTATGAAATAGACTAACATGATTTAGACCTCGAAAGAATAGAATGGTATGATTTAGAAATAAATTCAGATTAAAATGAACTACGAATATTTACAATATTGGACAGAAGCTATGGAAGATATAAAACTATTAGAACAATTAATAGAAGAAAATTTATATATGTATCTAAGAACCCAAGATATGTTATGTCTAGAATATATCATAAATAATATTAAAGAGATATCAAGATTAACACCCCTTGAAAAAAGAATATTATAATAAAATCTTTAAGATAAATTCCTCACCTACCACACTACCACCTACCACACTATCAAATATGTCATGAATTCCGCACCCCCGAAAAATAATTGGATAAAAGGAAGTGAAAAAATTACACAAAAATTAGAAAACATAAAAGAAGAAGACCCTAAAATAGAATTAATTATATTCTCTATAGATAAAGTAAAAATAATCCAAGATATGTTTTTTGAAATTTTACAAAACTAGTATAAACGTAGTTCTCAGTAACGTTTTAGGCTATATTTTATTCAAAAAAAAATCAATAACAAGAAGACAAAAATTCGACAGAGTAAACATACATAAAACGTTATTGTCAGTAACATTTTATAATTTGTTATTCTGAAGCACATTTTACAGTTAAAATATGACTCACAATAACGTTTCTCTGGAATGACTTACTTTAGTCAAAAATTCTGAACAGGCAAATGGTTGGACTTTAGTTTATAGTTACTACTAGGGGTGTTCATGGTTTGGATAAAAACCGATCCAAACCGAAAAACCAAACCAAACCGGTTAAATGAATCGATTTAATTTGGGTTTTGGTTTGGTTTGGTTTTAGATTGTTAAGAACTGATAGTATTTGATTTGGTTATGGTTTTGTTTGAAAAAAATCGAAGAAATAACCGAACCGAACCAACAAGTTATATACATAAATTTATTATTATACATACATAATATATTATATTCATAAACAATTTTAAAGATTTTATATATGTTTCATCAAAATTTATTTTTATAATTTACTTATGAAAGAAAAAATGTCCAACGTGAGAACATTTTTCTTATTGGTTTCATGTATATGAGTGCCTATGAAAATTCCTTGTGGGACTAAAAATGTCATTGTCTCTTCGTTCTATTCCAAAATAGTGAATTTTGAAGTTTTATTCAGTAAATTCAATGATCGAAAGTTCTGTAATGCCAGTCATTCTAACTATTTTTTTGTTTGAATGAATTGTTGTCACTTTTTTCACGTTTTGAATGAATTGTTTATTTTATTTTTATGTATGGTTAATAACCGAACCAAACCAAACCAAAACCGAAAACAACCAAACCGATAAATGTATATTATATTTGGTTTGGTTTGATTTTGATAATTTTAAAACCGATTAAGTTGGTTTGGTTTTGGTTTTGACCAATAACCGACCCAAACCAAACTGTGAACACCCCTAGTTACTACAATCTTTTAGTGCAGTTTTGTTTAGTCAATCAACTTTTTAAGGGTTTATTATTATTAATTATTACTATTAATATTATTATTAGGATCAACTTTTGTCTTTTAACACCTTTCCACTTTTAGTATTTAATATGATATAATTATTATTTAATATTTAATTGCTTAGATATTTTATAACATTTTGAATTAAGATAGGAATAAAATAGTATTTTTATTTTTATTTTTATTTTTGTGGCTTCTCACTTTTAATATTATACTAGATTTTGAGAACGTGTTGGCACGTTAGCCCCCAATTATTATAAAATTTCTGCATATTTAAAAAGTTTTTACTTATGGAATAGAGAATATGATATTGCAGATTTTACTATTTGAATTTATTCATTAAAAACACAATTAGTGGGACGATATAAATAGCCTCTGATAGTATGCAAGTGCTCTAAATTTATTAAATGCATGAAAAAATATTTAACAAATTTGCAAAAGAAAAATATGAAGAAACATATACTTTTACTAAACCGCAAAATAGAGCACAAATAGGATTGTTTGTTTAGATTTAGAAATATAAAATTAACTTGCACTAGCTACCTAATAAAATATTCCTCTTTTCTCAGCCAAGCAATCACTTTACGTAAAGATGACTGTAGACACATAAATTGTATTGGATTAAATTCATACAAAATTTGAATTAAATTCATGTTCGTTTGGGCTGAATGATTAATTTGGGCTTTACAAATAAATAAGTCCATTTTATTAATTTCAAATCCAAGGTTCATTTCACCTTGAAGCTCAAACTCATGCCACGGTGACTAGGCATCCAAGACCAACAAGGTGACGCCACATGTCCAAATGAGGTGGTAGTCCCAGTCAAATGCAAGAACCAATCACAATCCGCCAAGTGTCAAAATGACATCCTTTGGCCAATTACAAGCAACCTTGTCCACCCCTACAACTATAAATAGGGGATGGACATGACATTCTAGGGGCATCAAGAAAGCTCTTCAACAAGCATTCTGCAATTGGAGGAAGCTACACCATCAACTACATAGCTCTTCGAAGGAGTCATCAACGGAGTTCTTCCCGGAGATTCAACTTGAAACGACAAAGCGCTTTCTGACGTTCCCGGAGATCGACAACATCTCAAGGAGGTCTACATCATTCCAACATTTTCGAGAAATACGCTACTGAAGGCCCTCGAATCTTGGAGAATCTTAGGAGAGAGAATCAAGAGAACAACAGAATTGTACTCACAACGATTCATCAATAAAAATAACATTTTTTCTTTTATTTATTTTGCTTGCAGTCGATTTTCAGCGCTTAAGGAAATTTGTTGCGAACAATGACATTTATCCTCGTAGTCTCTAAAGTTCACAGAGGATAAAAATTAATGAAATAAATACAAAAACGGAAAACTGTAGAAAGAGATTGTAAGTGACAAAAGAAAAGGATACATTTTCATTTCACAAAAATTAAAATACCTCTCAATTCTATAATCCAAATGAATGGTTAATTATGATGCAGAACAAACAAGTATTAAGCATACAAATACATATATAATTTAGGGAAAATGATCAGATATACCCCTTAACTTTATCATTTAGAGTTGATATATCCTCGTTATAAAAGTGGCTCATAGATACCCCTACTTATATTCAAATGACTCACATATATCCTTTTCCTCTAATGGAAATGAAAGAAATTAATTTTGGTTCAATTTTTTATTATTTTAAAAAATATATATATAATCCCATATGAGTATATTTAATCCTCCTCAAACATATAGTATATTTTTTTTTTGACTTTTTTTTTGTTTCAATGACTAATTTAAATTTATTATTTTGATGGTCAAATTTATTTATGTTTCACTAATATTCTTGTAAAACTTATTATAGATGACCAATTTTTTTTCTTCAAATGCAAAAAATTAAATTACAATATAGACAAAAAAAAATAGTTTTAAATTTTTTTCTTTACACTAAGGAATGAAAGAAAAAAATAAAATAAGAATAAGAAACTCAAATAAGTATAATAAAAGAAGTCAAAAAATAATTTATTTATGAAAAAGATTAAAATATACCTTGAACTTTGCTAGAAGAATCATATATACCCCTAAATAATTTTTAAGAAAATTAAAAGTCAAAAATATAAATTTAAAACTAATTTTTTCACTCCATTAAATGAAGAGTATATGTGAGCTCATTTTGTAACGATAGGGGTATATGTGAGCCGTTTGTATAACGGTAAGAATATTTATGAATCACTTTCATAACGAAGGCATATCAGTTCCAAATGGCACTATATCAGTTCCAAATGGTAAATCAACAGTGATGCCTCAACAATCACAAAGTCATAACTTCATCCATGCACAAATGTGTTATATCCAGTACGGCAGTGCCTGTTATGTTAAAATGTGTTTCATTTTCTCCAAATCTCAGATTATTTGAACTTAGACTTATTACTAATAAATAATAATAATTACATAAATATAAATAAGATGATTGGTATAATATTGTAGGATTATTATTTAATATTTAATTAATATTATATTTTATAAAAAAAATTAATTTTATTGTAAGGGCGAAATGGTAATCAAACTTAAAACTTTGGAGCTTTCCACTTTTAGTATTATTTGAATGAATATGAAATATGAATATGATGATATGATATAATATCATGATAGATAGAACGATAGAGATTAATAAGACTTACTGTTTTAAACCAAAAAGAAAAAAAATGTTGCACCATCAAACACATTTGCAACCACAAAATACCGGAAGATAAGTTTGCTATGGATCTTTATTGAAGGATTCACTTAGATAGCTAGGTGAGTGAACAAGAGATTAGTTACAATATTAACTAACTTCCTGAAAGGTTAGTTATTTTAATAGATGTCAGTTAGTTAGGATTGGGTAGTTTTGAAGTCTATATAAAGTTGTATTTGTAAGCCTATTAAAGGCATCGTGTTAATGAGAATAACAAGTTAAAAACTCTCTTAATTCTTCTTCTTCTTCCTCACTTCTTCTCTTCTTCTCTTAGATGTTCTTCTTTACTTTACATACTTTCTCATATAGTTTCATGGTATCAGAGCGAGGTTGGATAATCTGGTTGAAAGAATCGTTCTGTAACGCAGATAGAAAATTGTTCAATTCTGTTGGAAGAACTGGTCAAATTCTCTGAATATTCTCTGTTGTTACAATGACAGTGGAAGCAGGACAATCTACACAGGCTCAATCTGTTCAATCTGGTCAAAAAACTGGTATCGACTACAATCATCCTTTGTTTCTTTCTCAATCTGATGTAAGTGGTACACAAATTATTTCGTTCCAACTAGCAGGGGTTGAAAATTACTCAATCTGGTATAGATCCATGAGGGTAGCCTTGCTTGGAAGGAACAAATTAGGATTAGTTGATGGTTCCTGCAAGAAAGAAGTATTTCCAGAGGAGATGGGGAATCACTGGGAAAGAGTGAATGCAGTAGTATTGTCTTGGCTGATGAACTCAGTAGAAAAAGGGTTGTTGGGAGGTATAATGTATGCTTCTAATGCCCAAGAAGTATGGGAGGAACTATTCGAAAGATTCAACAAGATTGATGGTTCAAGAACGTACAATTTACACAAGGAAATTGCTACATTGAGTCAAGGTACTGCTACAGTTTCTGCATACTTTTCTAGGTTGAAAAACTTGTGGGAAGAATTTGAAGCTCTTGTTCCTAGTCCCGGTTGTAACTGTGAAAAATCAAAAGACTTTGTAATACATCTTCGGAAGTTGAAATTGTTTCAGTTTCTCATGGGACTAAACGACTCTTATAATCAAGCAAGAAGTCAGATCTTGCTTATGAGTCCTATGCCAACTGTTAATCAGGCATATGGAATGGTTATGAGTGATGAGGGACAAAGGTCTATAGTAGCGAATTCTGGAATCTTGGGTGCAAATCCTGCTTCAAGTGGTAGTAATTTTGATATGGCCATGTTTACCAGAAATGGTTCTACAAGATACAAGAAAAATTTCAATGTACAATGTGAGTTCTGTAAAATGAAAGGACATACCAAAGAAGTGTGTTACAAGTTGGTGGGATACCCATCAGATTATAACAAGTTTAGAAAGAAAGAAGGACAGACAAGGAGTAATGGTTATAACACAAGTGCAAGGGCTCATAATGTGATCATTGATAGTCATTTTCAAGAATCAGAACAATGTGATATGATGGGTGATACAAGTGAGAATGTAGCAGAAGGAACTATGTCAGATTACAAAGGCAAAAGTATGGAATCTTCTTCACAAAACAGAAAGACTGAGATGGGGTTGTATCCATTTACTAAGGAGCAATATAATCAGATTGTTCATCTGTTGAAGAATATTGGAGACAACAGTGCTGCTACAAACCCTGTGTCTTCAGCAAATTTAGCAGGTATTAACCAGGCTAGTGTTTACTCAGTTAAAAACATACAAGAGTGGATAGTAGACACTGGAGCTACAAACCATATGGTAGCTGATGTAAGCTTGTTAGATAAACCTTTTATAGTGTCGAAAGAAGTGTATTTACCTAATGGAAATGTTGCTAAAGTCACTCATACTGGAACTAGTAGTGTTACTGCAAGGACATCTTTGACTAATGTGCTGCATTTGCCTCAATTCAAGTTCAATTTGATGTCTGTGTCAAAACTCACAAAAGAGTTAGGATGCTCAGTAAGTTTCTTTCCTAATTTTTGCTTGTTTCAGGATCTCTCCAATGGAATGGTGAGGGAGATTGGTAAAGAGGAGAATGGCTTGTATATTCTGACAGGAAGTTCAAAAATACTGCAGTCTCAAAGCAATGGTTGTGTTTGTACTGTGAAAGGAAGTATGCATTAGAGCTGATTTCTGAAACAGGTCTAGGGGCGGCAAAACCTGCTATGACTTCTATGGATGCAAATGTGAAGTTAACATCAAAGGAATATGATGAGTGTGTGCTCAAAACTCAAGCAGAACCTATGGCTGATCAAGGCTCTTATCAGAAACTCATAGGAAAACTTTTGTACATCACTATGACCAGACCTGATATTTCATTTTGTGTACAGACCTTGAGTCAGTTCTTACAAGCTCCTAAACAGTCTCATATGGAAGCAGCAATTAGGATAGTTAGATATCTGAAAAAAGAGCCAGGGCAGGGAGTTTTACTATCGAGCAATAAGAACATTGATATATCAGCTTATTGTGATACAGATTGGGCTGCTTGTCCTAACTCTAGAAGGTCTGTAACAGGATATGTAGTGAAGCTTGGTGACTCTCCTATCATATGGAAGTCTAAAAAACAAACAACCGTCTCCAAGAGTTCAGCAGAAGCTGAATACAGAAGCTTGGCCTCAACAGTAGCAGAGTTGATATGGATAATTGGGTTAATAAAAGAACTTGGTGTGGAGGTTACTCTTCCAGTTAAGGTGTATAGTGACAGTAAAGCTGCGATACAAATAGCTGCAAATCCAGTGTATCATGAAAGGACTAAACACATTGAGATAGATTGTCATTTCATTAGAGAAAAGGTTATGCAAGGAATGGTTTCTACCAACTATATTCCTACAAATGAACAACCTGCAGATGTGTTAACTAAAAGCTTGCCCAGAGTTCAACATGAAGTTTTGAGTTCCAAGTTAGGTATTCAAAACATTTTTAGAGTACCTAACTTGAGGGGGAGTATTGAAGGATTCACTTAGATAGCTAGGTGAGTGAACAAGAGATTAGTTACAATATTAACTAACTTCCTGAAAGGTTAGTTATTTTAATAGATGTCAGTTAGTTAGGATTAGGGTAGATTTGAAGTCTATATAAAGTTATATTTGTAAACCTATTAAAGGCATCGTGTTAATGAGAATAACAAGTTAAAAACTCTCTTAATTCTTCTTCTTCTTCCTCACTTCTTCTCTTCTTCTCTTCTTCTCTTATATGTTCTTCTTTACTTTACATACTTTCTCATATAGTTTCAATCTTAGTGTGAGAAGAATAATCTTTGAGATACAATTCAAGTTGATGTGCTAAGGGCACTGTTAATTTATATAGCACATCATTTTCCAAACTATATCTGAATACATGATGGTAGACGGAATTATGAAGAAATATCCTGAAGATATGCTCATTCATATCCTTTTGAGACTTCCACTGAAATTTATCTTGCGATTCAAAAGTGTCTCCAAAACTCTTTACACTCTCATACAATCTTCATCTTTCATCAATATTCATTACAACCACACATTAAATTCGACATATGATAACATTCTCCTAAAGCGCTCCTTCAAAGAAGACATTGAAAGATATAAAGCTGTTTTTTCTTTTATTCCTAATGACGATGAAGATAATTTAAATACCGTTTATCCAGATCTAGATGTTCCTTATACGTCAAGTATTTCTAGTGTTAAAAGTGATAAGCTCATCAATTCTAGCCATGGTTTAATTGCTTTGATGGAACCACGAACCACCATCGTGTTCAATACATCAACTAGAAATTATAAACGACTCCCTCCTAGCCATTTTCAAATTTCGAAGGGAGAATATCAATCGTTTGAAAGTGGTGGATTTGGTTACGATTCAGTTGTTAATGATTTCAAGGTTTTTAGAATATCTGAAGTTTTCAAGGAAGATGGTTTCGGACACATTAACGATGGAGAGAAAAGGGTTGAGGTATATGAATTGGGTATTGATATTTGGAGAAAATTGGATCATGTGGATCAACAATTGCCCAAATTATTTTGGTTGAATTCTTCAATGTCTTATAAGGGTTGTTACCATTGGATTGCATCATTTGAAGGACAAAAAATCATTCTTTGCTTTGACATGACAACCGAAATTTTCCGAAATATACAAATGCCAGCAGACACAAGCAAATTTACAGAGGGCACACTTCATAGCCTCCTAATTTTGAATGAGTCTCTAAGTTTGTTATGTTACCCTTCAGTTATTGATCCAAATACAGATTTTATGGAAATTTGGATTATGAAGGATTACAATATTTATGAGTCTTGGATTAAGAAGTACACAATAATTGGTGTTCCTACTGAAAACCCATTAGTAATGTGGAAAGATTTTGTATTGCTTTTTCAAAGCAAAAGTGGATATTTGATGTCATATGATCTTAAACATGATGCAATCAAGGAATTGAATATACAGGGCTGTCCAAAATCAATGAGAGTTGTAATTTACAAAGAATTCTTGACTCCCATTCAAAGAGAAAGCTAAATTGGTGAACAGGTTCAAAACTGTTAGACAAGTTTTTCCTCTTTTTCCCCACCTGATACAGAGGTGGAGTTAGGTGGGGGTTCATGGGTTCGGACGAATCCATTAGCTTTTTCGTAGACTCTATATTTGTATTAGAAAAATTAAATAAATATATGTATATTAACATGTGAACCCTCAAACAAAATTAATTTAGAGCCCCTAAACTACTAACTTTGGCTCCCCCTGATACAAGACTCAGCGAAGAAAGTATTTGATGAAAAAGGGTGTTGATGGAAAATTACTCAGAAAATCTTCCATTGTTGGTTATAATTTTGGTGGTGTTTTCACATACTTTAACGAGTAACTAAATTTTCTATCTAAGGTTTTGGCAGAAACTTTTTGGGGAATGAATTAGATATTGTTACCTTTTTATATAATTGAGATGTTGGATTTTTCTAGCTACTTGTTCAACTACATGCTTATTTTAGTTGATTAAATCTCCATTGACTGATTGTACGTATTCATTATGTGTTTCTTTAGAAAGAATGCGTATTTAGGTTATTGTGTACTCCAAGGTATATGAAAGAGCAATATTATGTGTTTAAAAACGTGTTTAGAGATATCGAAGCTTTGATGAGGTAATAATGAGTGGTGAGAAACTGCTAGTTAGAGTAATTTAGAGAACATATCTAGTAAATTCTCATAATTTATAATGAGATAAATACTGTAAGTTGAGTGCTCACAATCTGTAGAGAATAAATTGAAGATAATGTAACAAGAAGAATTTTGATAATTGAGGAAGTCAAAATACTTCTCACGATCCGATTTATTAGGTTATGATTATACCTACCACATCCCACCAGTAAGTTAGCCTACAAGTACAAGGCTTTTCAAATAGAGCAAGTACAAAACTATCTCCGAAAGCAAAATAAAGAGTAGTCCTAACCAACATAGAGGGATATTTGCGTTAGGAGCCGACACCAATCTCCGCATCCCAAAAGTTCTTGTGCACGAGATCCAAATCAACGAAAGAACTTGTTGTATGATCTGCAGGGTGAGAAAGTGTAGTATGAGTACCAACAAGTGGTACTTTGTAGGTATAGGCCAACTGAAGCTCCAAAGAAAAACAAGTAAAAATAGTGCGTAAATAAGGAAACAAAGAAGGGCCTAAAATGCCCCTCAACTATTTGAATTGATACAAAATTACCCTCCATTCATTTGGTCTCCCAAATACCCCAGCGTCAATCTTTTGGCTCAAAAATAATTTTATGTCTAACGGATCATACTCATAAGGTGGGTGGAGGGCAATATTGTACCAAATCCCATAGTTTAAGGACATTTTAGGCCCTTTTCCATTAAAATAATTTGAAATTACTTAATATATGAGCTCACATGATTGATTTGATTTTGATTTCATAGTAAATTAAAAAGAAAAAAAAGTTAGTCTTCTACTCTCTACACTCCCCCCCCCCCCCCCCCAAACCCCTTCATTTCCTATCTCTTCCAAAAAAAATTCTATTTGGATCTTGTCCACCATTTTAATTTTGTTTTTCAATTTATGACAAACAAGAGAGAGAGAAAAAGAGGAAAACAACTATGACATTCATATAGAAATAATTAGTTCAATAAAAGATGACTTAATTAGGCAAATATGTATGAATACCGCATTTTTCTTTTGTATGTACCCAAAATTCAAATTAAAAGAATAAAAACAATAATTTCTCCTATCCCCACCCTCACCCCACCATGGAAATAATACAAATTAAAAAAATATGAACATGTGAGTTCCGTTCAAGTTTGAGTCCCGAATATCCTTATTAAGAATAAGAGATTAAAGAAAGGAATAAAAAAGAGAAAATGAACAAGGCATTTGGATAATTGATAGAAAATTTTATATTAATAGAAATAATAAATGAAATTTAGATGGAAAATCAGTCGGAGTGAGTATCAATTTTAGTTGAATCTCCATTTATGAGTTGGGTTATAATAAATTGGGGGTTGATTTAAAATAGACCAACAAGAAGATATTATGAAATTAATTATTTTTTCAATATTATTTTCAAGTGTATTGGGTCAAAATATGAATCATATGTGGTTTAGTAAAAAGTAATTTTTAAAAAATATGATTTTTATTATTTATTTGAGAAGGGTCTAAATTTGGACCAATCACATTAGGCAACCTAATAAATAAATATTTGATAATATTACTTTAAGGAAAGTATTAAAAATAAGGGCAAATATGAGTCAAATGATTAACATCGAGGGCATTTTTGAGCTTAAAGGTGGACGCCACGGATATTTTAGGGTCAAAATGTGGATGGAGGATAGTTTTGTCCTAATTCAAATACTTGAGGGGAAATTTAGGCCCTTCTTACCGCAAAAGTGTCTAACGAGAATATGTAGCATGAAAATATAGGTAATGAGAATGAGGGAATAGGATGCACTAAGTGTGAGTCCGAGTAAAAGGAACATACCTGGAGGCGCAACTCAACAAACCTGATCACGATAACATCCTACTACGTAAGTTAACTAACCAAGGAAAGACCCACAATAACACCACTACACAATATAACCACCACCGAATCAGAGTACCAAAGAAAGGGGAAAATCAATCACTTAAGAAACTAACGATCAATTCAATGCAATAATACACAGTTATAGTCAAACAATAACCTAATTGTACCCTCAGAAGTGCGGAAGGTACAAACAACAACGATAACCCAACAACCCTTCACATAAGACCGGCGGGTGTGATGAGTCTGAGATTTTGAATTATTTGAGGCCTTTTTAGTTTAACAAGTAATGTCATCAATGCCTTTTATGTCTATATCTAATGGTTTATTATTGTTTTATAGCTATGAAAGCTCAATGACAAGGCAAGGACGAAATCCCACAAAAAGAGGCTAAAACCACGGGAAAAGAGAAAAAATGTGAAGTTGATGCTCACAAAAGGCACTTGGAGACTCGCTGAGTGTGTCAAACCTCGCCGAAAATGATATGGTCTTCGACTAAAATGCTCAAGGTAGAGTCAACGAGAAGATAATCTAAATGGCGATTCACCGTACTCAGTCGGTGATCTAATAGTTGTTCACTGAAAGTGTAAAAAAATTTAAGCTTAATTGAAGGCCAAAAATGTAAGATGGGGTGATGATGGGTGACTCACAAAATGTAAACGACAAACTCCATCGAGCTCGCCAACTTCTGAATCATCTATGTTTATTCTAGTCAATTTCATTCATACTTTTATCCCTAATTAGCTAAAAATCAATGGCGGATGGGCTCAAGAATTTTCCTACAAAACACTGAGATTTTATATTAAATCATCTACATTACTAATCCGACTTGGAATCATTTTCTCCAGTGTGCAAATGATTACTTGCTTTAACCATTCAAGCACGCCTCATTTTGGGGTCAAAATACTTATATAGGGGTCCTAGACATTGGCAAAACGACATAGTATTAGGCTAGACTAATTAGCAAAAGACCCAATTGCCCCTAAGAAAATAGTTGCCGCCCCTAACGATGCTTTAGACCGACGGACCGTGGTTTGACCAACGGTCCGTCTTGCACGTCTGTCATTCCGTGTCAGATACTAAACTTTTGGGGTCATGATCCACGGACACTCGACCACGGATCGTGGACCCAACGGTATGTTGGTCCAGGTCATGGTTTGTGGTCCTTGAGCCTGTTTGGGTAGCAATCCACGGTTGTGGTTGGCCTCCGTCGAATGGCAACTTCTAAAATCTGAGATTTTTGCCCTTTCTCGAATCTGAGGTATTACATACTGAAACTAGCAGTATTGAAGAAAGGTCCCATTATAGGTACTGAGACCAACCTAATAGATTAGGCCTAATGGTCATGCGAATGAATATTGCGGGCAACATTAAGACTACTCTTCCCAAAATTAAGAATGAAAAAATATTTCTGAAACTTGTGAAAGAATCCTCTCAAACTGCTAATAAGTCCCTTGCTGGGACACTAATGGGTACTTTGACCACCAAGAAGTTTGATGGTTCTCGTACTATGGATGAGCATGTTATTGAAATGACAACATAGCAGCAAGACTTAAGTCTTTGAGAATGGAAGTGGAACAAAATTTCCTTGTACAATTCATCATCAACTCAGTAGCAGCGTCTGAGAATGGTCCTTTTCAAATGAACTACAATACCATAAAATATAAATGGAACGTGTATGAATTGCACGGAATGTTGGTTCAGGAGGATACAAGGTTGAAGAATCAAGGAACCCATTCCATCGACTTTGTAAGTCATCAAAGAGATGGAAAGAAAGGAAAGAAGCATGATAAGGGAAAGCAAAAGAAACACAGTGTTAGCGAGTCTTCATCTCAAATATGTAAGAAGGAATATAAGGATGATAAGTGTCGTTTCTATGGAAAATCCGGACACTTTGAGAAAGATTGCTTGAAATGTAAGGCATAGTTCAGAAGAAAGGTAAGCTTTGGGCTATTACATGTCTTGAATCAAATTTAACTGAAATTCCTTATAATAATTAGTGGATTGACTCTGGTTGTACAGTTCATATTTTTAATATGATGCACAGATTCCTTACAACATAGATCATAATGCATAACAAAAGATTTTGTTATATGGGGAACAGAGTGAAGGCTCCAGTTGAAGCTATTGGACTTATCGTTTAATCTTCGACATTGAGCGTCACATAGATTTACTTGAAACTTATTATGTGCCTTCTCTTTCGAGAAATTTATTTTTTTGTCTATATTGGATAAGACCGGATACTCTCTTAATTTTGGTAATGGGTATTTTAGTTTTCTTAAGCATAATCATCTCACTGGTGCTTGAACTCTTTCTGATAGTTCATACAAATTATATCTTGATAAGACCGGTTCCGTCTCGATTCCGGCTTGTACCGGTTAGGTTCGGACAGTAGCGGGTCTGGGAGGGGTAACGGGACAGAAACCAGGATTTACCGGTTAGTCTCGATTTCGATCCCGGTCCGGTCCGGTTCATAATTTTATTTTATTTTTAAAATCTTAATTATTATTATTATAGCCGTTGGGAAACGGGTTTTGGGCCCCACCAACGGCTTTTTCACTCCCATAACTCCCCTTTACACCTCCCTACCTCCCAAACTTTTTTTAATACCCTAACCTTCTAAAACCTACATTTTCATCCTTTTTTTTAACTATAAATACCCCCAATCTTTCATTTTTTTAACTCACAATTCACAAAAATATTATCTTCTAGTCTTTACTCTCTAATCTCTTATTCTCGTTAAAATTACGAATTTGGATTTTGGTCTTTGGAAATTGGAGCTTCAAAATTCAACTTTCAATTTTCGACTTTTGGTCATACACGTCTACTTTTTTAGTAGATGTTTGGTACATTCGTTCCAACTCACTTTTCATTTAGTAATTTATTTGTTTGCATTTAATTATTTATTTTGTGAGTAATTAGTCTCTAGTCTCTACTTATTTAGTTATTTATTTGTTTAAAACTTTGCATTACATTTTCGTATTATATATAATTTACTACTTTTTATATTTGAATATGGATTTCGGTAAAAACAATGTTGACAAGGGTAAAACAATCATAGTTGATTCGATCACTAATTTATGGAGCTCAAAATCCAAGAAAAATAAAAAAATCGGTAGTACTTCTAAATCTAAAACTAAAAAACCTTCTCAATTAAGAATAAATACGGATGATTATACGCATGTTGATGAAACTATTTTTAATATTGATAGTAATAGTGGATTAGATCCTTATCATGAACATTTACAAAGAAGGTTTGGTAATTTTGATGAGGAATTACCTGAAGATGATGAACATGATGATGTTAATGAATATATTGATAGTTTGATAATAATGTTGATGAATATGATGATGATGATGAAACTCAGCCAGCTACTCCCACTCCCAATCCCTCTTCCCCTCCCGCTCCCTTTCGTTGTCCTGCTCCCGTTCCCCCCGTGCATCCTAGGACTAAAGTAGAATGCACTAAAAAATCAGTTGTGTGGAAATTTATGACTCAGAATGAAGATAAAACACAAGCTATTTGTAATAAATGTAAACATAGAATGAATCATAAAACTATAGGAAAATAGGGTGGGACGGGATATTTGAGTAATAATTTAATGTCATGTTGTAAAAATGACTTTTTCCATGCTAAAGTTGTAGCCGAAGCTAAAAAGAATGGTATCACCCTTCCTGAAAATGTAGAAGTAGAGAGCTCTAATATGGTCCAAACACAATTAAATCCTTCTAATGTTTCTGGCTCTAGTATACAACGGTACATAATAGTAAGAGAAAACGATCTTGAAGAATTAGCTAAAATGATTGTTGTTATGGGTTTGCCATTTAGTTTTGTTGAAAATTACCGATTTTATTCATTATATTCAAATTGTGTATAATCCACATTTTAAAGGTTTTACTAGAAATACAATTAAAAAAGGCTATCTTTGATTATCAATCTCAACATTTTCAATATCTTCATTGTTTATTTTATTATAATAATAGTAAAATAGTTATTACTTCTGATATGGGCCGTAGTATAAATGGTAATGATTATTTCACTATTACTGCACATTGGGTCGATGAAAATTGGACATTGCAAAAAAGAATTTTAGGTTATAAATGTTGTGAAATGCATAAAACCGGTAGTTATATAGCTCAAACACTTATAGATGTTTTACAGAACTATGGAATTTGTGATAAAATAAGTAGTGTCACCTTAGATAATGCTTCTGATAATAGAACTGTTGTTGAAATACTAAAACTGTCTCTTTTCCCTATTTATATTGATGGTTTTCATATTAGGTGTGCTGCACACATATATAATTTAATTGTTAGAGATGGTATAGCAATGTATAATGATGGTTTCATAAAAGTTGAAACTACATGTCATTTTATTTTTAAATGTCAAGTTCAGTCTAGACGCAGAGATTTTGAAAATCGTTGTCATGAATTTAATCTTCCACCTAGAAAAATTCCAAATCAGTGTGTACTAGATGGAATTCTTTATATGAAATGTTGGAAGTCGCTTATGAGTATAGGAAACCTTTACAAATGGTTTAGAATGCTCATAATTCAAATATAACATATAGAGTTGATGATAATGATTGGAATGACATAAAAGAACTTATGACATTCTTAAAAGTTTTTTATCTAACTACAAAAAATATATCTGCACTTTATTATCCAACTATTTGCTCTGTTTTACCTAATATTTGTGCTATTTC